ACACACACACACACACACACACACACACACACACACAGTCAGTTCAGAGACATTTATTTGAATATGATTTATAAACCGTAGATATGAGCTTCATGCATGTACCTTTGTTTCTATTCAACCATCAGTTTGAGATTGTTTTCTAAGAAGTTCAGATTTGTGGACAGGAAACAGAATATATGAACTAAGGGTAAATTTTAATTTGGTAATAGGAAAAGCTCACTATCTATTGAAGGAACAGAGTTTTGAGTGACATCATTAGAATCAATATCTCAAAATGAATAAAGATATTTTTAGAACCTGAGTCGTTGAGCAGCCGGAGGTTGTCCTGAGGCTGACTCTCTTGTGGCGTGTTGACGGCGATACGAACAGCTAACTTTCCTGAAAGTTCAGCCAGTTTCTTCAGGATGGTTTCACCCTGTCACACAGCCAGAGCATAGTTATCTTAGTCTGTCATCTACTCTGCTGTAGTTAAAAAGACAACCATTTGTTAAAAAGAACCATGTTTAATTCCAGCTCCGGCTGACCTGATAGGCTGACGGCTCGTGGGTGCCAGTGTCTTTGTTGGTGAGTGTCCAGTAGAAGGAGGCGATGTCGAGACTGCTGCGAGCCTCGGCTGCCAGACTGAGCCAGGCCTGATAGATGGAGGGGTGAGTGGTGCTGGAGTTAAACTCCAGACCTTCAGGGATGCTCTCCACCAGAACAATCCTGACAGAAGAGAAGGGATGTCTCAATGATACTGACTGATATCTGAAATCCTGCTGCTCACAAATGAGTCTGGCCGATAAATCAACCAGGTGGATATGATGGTCTATATTAGCTTATGGCTTATATACCAGGTTATATGACATAGCATGTAATGAATACACTGATAAGTGATAAAATATTATAGTACACAAATGCTAAAGATATATTTTAGCCCATTCATTTCCATTATTTCCCATCTTATTTATTACATTCTATTCTCATTATTTCCTCACTAACCCTTTTGATGTTACCAATGAAGTTTTTAATATATATTTCTCTAATTTGTTGTCTATAACTTTGCTTATTCACAGCGATATGAAAACAAAAAAAAATTGGAGTAAATGTGCAGGTTCTGTGTCCATGTGCGTGAGCAGATGTTTTCCTTACTTGCAGGGGTCGGAGCAGGACTCGCCCTTGGGCAGACGGAGGCTGCTGCTTGGGGCAGGGTGGGAGGAGGTAAACCTGGGCGTGAGGAGGTTATAGATGGCCATGGCAGCCAGCAGCACTGTGGCTATCGTGGCCAGTGCAAGCATCCCCCTGGAGTACTGGAAAGAGTGAACACTTAAAATGTCTGCGTTTTGACACTCTGTGTGTGTGTGTGTGTGTGTGTGTGTGTGTGTGTGTGTGTGT